CCTTACTGAAGACAGCTTCCAAACTGCCACCACAGTAACTTCTCGAAAATCCGCATCTAATCCTGGCATTGCTGGCTCCCAGCCATGGATGGGGCACAAACTCTTTCTTCATCACGGTTCAAAAAGCCTCCTCCTCAGGCCACAGTCTCCCTCCCTGGACCCCGCCCCTGCACCCCAAGCCACAGGAGTCTCCACACTCCAGTCCAGCTTCTCCCACAGTACCCTTAGCTCACACAAGCCTAGTGATGACGAGCGGCTTTTCTCGTCTAATGCATTGTTTGATTTGGTCTAATCCAGAATTATCTCAGTTTCTTTATGGCAGGACTTATTGGGGTGGTATTTCTCAACTGATTTATCCCCAGAACCTGTTTTCATAGATCTCCTTGGACTAGGGTTCCTCAAAACACACCCTGACACCTTGTCTAAACAGGCTCGCCTCCCCCAAATCTCATTCTGTTCCCTTACCTGGTCTAGTTTGCTCTCACCACACTTGTTTATTGTCTGTCTGCCTCACTGGAATATTAGCTCCGTGAAGGCAGGGGTGCTGTTCATCACTGTATTCCCAGCGTCTTGGATAGTAACTGGAATACAGTCATCACCCAATTATTTGTGGATGATGAATGAATGCTGTTGCTTATGTGCAAGCAGCCTCACTTCCCTCTACTTGGGAAACTCCTACTCAACTTTCAAACCCAATTCGAATATCATTTCCTACATGAAATATTCTCTGATGTCACACCTCTCCCTCCTCAGCAAATTGTTCTCTGAATCTACAACTAGCACTTAGAATATATTTTTATTAAAGTGATTCCAATACTTTATTATAGTTAATTATGCCTTTTTACTCCACTAGGCTAAAAGCTCTAAAACAGTTTCTTAATCATCTTTTTTTCTACGTCCAGATCTGAACATACTGAAAACTCGGTGACATGTTGAGTGTTCAGTACATGTTTACTGAGTAATAAAATAAATGTCTTTTCTCACCAAAGCAACTGACTTCAGTCTTAGAACACTTTTACTAGAACCTCTGCAATTAGACCATTGCTTTCCATTTCTTCCTTTTTCTTATGTAGTACCACACGGGAAAAAATTACTAATTTAATTTAGTTCTTCCACAAGGTTTAAAAAAGCTTGCTACACAGATGTGTGAATCCATCCCCACCCTTCACCTCACTGCTTGCCTGACTCTAGCTGACAGAGTAGCAGTGGAGTTATCCAGTTACAGCCCACTCGCAGCTGCCCAGGGAGGGCTAAAGAGGCAAAAGCAACATTCCAGCCTGAGTATCTGGTACCCATTATGGCTAAACTCAGTAGAAAAAACAAAGCTGCAGATGCGCAGCACCCTTCTACCCCCAGCCACACACCCCTTCCCCACACATCACAGAGGAACCCAGTAGATGCAGCTGGGACACCTCAGATAGTGCAGCATGGCTGGCAGCCTCTGGTTACAGGGAAGCAGCATCGGGAACTTGTAGGCCTGGAACCTCATAGGGTGCCACATCCCACCACGAGGGTGATTCCTGAGACCAAGGTGACCAGGTCACAAAGGGGACGCCTACCTCTTCAGGGAATATAGGACATTTTCCACATCGAAGGCAACATTAACCCACCAAGACCCTGTAAGTCCCAGTAGTGCAGGTAAGAGAAAGCAAAAACTTGCATTATAGCACCATCTACTGGAAAACAAGAGAAAGACAGCACCTAAAAATGAATTCAATTTCTCAAATGTCCAGGTAGAGAAATAATCCATAAAGTACCATGAATAACCAAGATAACAAGGTAGCTTAAAAAGAAAATGAAAAATCTCCAGCAAAGCAACTCTAAGACACAGAAAACTGTGAATTAAATGGCAGAGCATTCACGGCTATAGCTCTAAAAAAACTCAGAGATACAAAAAAACTCAGGCTGTACAATGAGCTCAGGAATAAAACCAGTGAACCAAAGGATAACCTTAACAAAGACACTGAAGCTGTAAAAAAGAACCAAAAAGAAATTCTAGAGGTGAAGAACTCAATACATAAGATGAAGAACAAATTAAAGAGCTTAGGAAACAGAGCAGACCAGGTAGAAGAAAAAAAAAATAGTGATCCTGGAGACAGAAATCTAGAAGGAACTCAGGTCAAAGAAGAGAGAGAATTGAGAGTTTAAAAAAAATAAAAGAGCTATCTGACTCGATTAGAAAAAGCATATAAGAATAACGGTTATACCAGAAGAAGAGAGGGAGAAGGAAACAGAGAGCCTATCCAAATAAATAATTGATAAGAACTTCCCAAACCTATGGAAAGAGCTGGATCCTCAAATCCAAGAAACTAACAGAACATCTAATTATCTCAATGCAAAATGACCTTTTC